CTTCTGGCCCTGCTTCTGAACAACCTTGTTGTCTTTTGGTACCTGCTGTGTAGGTCGTGTCACCTCTGTCTGTTCATCCACACCTCACCCCACGTGCTTTCCTGTTCCTAAAATCCTCCTGGAGCAGCCTGGTCCTTGGGATTTATGGGCACCAACAGCCAGTGCTGACCTTTCAGGAATGATCTATAGTGCCAATCACTTCCACCTGTAATTTGGAAATTAATGGTGAAGAAGCTTTTGGTGTTTGTGTTTCAAATCAGTTTTCAGGGAAATGGAGATTTTTGGGGGGATGGGGTTGCTCTCTGATCCGTTCCTCTATTGAATTTGGAGTGCAAGAGAGGTCAGAGCAAGCTTCAGACTTCCCTGAGAATCAGATTAGCTAAACCAAGATTAAAAATCCCCCTTTCAGCCTGCACAGTCCATAATGTATATAAAAAAAGAAAACCATGAATTAGGATCTGTCCTTTCCTGGTGTTTGTGTTTTAGCCGTCGTAGCTTGAGCCTCGTGTCACAGATCAATGGGAATGGAGGTAATTGCACAGCTGGTAGAAGCAGCCTTCTCCTCCCTTTTGTCTTTGCACTTGTTCTTTGGAGCAGAACTTGCTTCTGAAGCCAAATATTTCCTTAGGAATCAAGCACCTCCACTTGTCACGGGCACGGCCCAGAGCCAGCATTTGGGGTGTTAACGTTGTGGTTCCCAGAGCTGGGGTGGATCAGGCTTTGCTGGCTGGGTGTTAACCTCAGCAGCCCCTGCCTCCAAGCCCAGAAATGGTGATTTCTGCATCCCTTGGCTGCAGCCCCCCCTGGTCTGCAGTCAGAGAGCTGTCAGTGGGGGTGTGGAAGGGCCCGTGGAGACGATGGCCACGAGCCGTGCGTGTCCTTTGCTGACAGAAGGTGATCTCAGCTCCTCCCTTCCTTCCAGGGGGAGGGGAAGCTTTGGTCAGTCCTTGCAAGAGCTCCTGATTTCTTTTCTCCAATGGAGAAGCCAATTACCTTCTGCCCTGTCAGGAGTGCAGCCAGTGGATTAAAGGGATGGGAACCCTCTGGAAGAGGCTGAGCCTGGAATCCCCACCTCGCAGCCAGAAGCTGGAGCTGAGGAACAAGCACAGCCAAACTTGCAAGCCCTGGGCCAAGGGAAGTTGTTCCTTGAATTAGCAGCTGCACCTGATTTTCATTCAATGGAATTTGAGCCAAACCTGTTTTTTTTTCCAAGTTCTGCAGGCTGAGTGTTTGTTCAGAGACAGAGCTTTGAATTCAGTCCAGGGTGGTTTTGGTGCTTTTGTTTTCTTGGGCAGAAGTGTTTGAAGTAACTGTGTGTTACTGCTTTGGGTTGTTTTAAATAGTGGGGTTTTTTTTTGTTGTTGTTGTTGTTCTTTTCTCTGATTTGAATGTAGAAAAGGAGAAACAGAGTGTTCTCTTCCCTTCTCTTGCTCCTTGCATGAATTGAGACGTGTTCCAGATCTCTCTGCTGCCTGGAATGAGGTGTCCTGCTTTGGGAAGGGAGAGATCTGTGTGCTGACCAAGAAGGTCCTTTGCCTTTAGCCCTGAGAAAGGAGACAAGTCAAACAGGAGTTTTCCCTGCTCCTTCTTTCCTTTAGAACTTCTTTGCTGCTACTGCAATCCCCCACTTTTTCATTCTGTTCTTCTCTAAACTGCTTTTTATTGCCCCACGTCACGTTTCCCCCGTGGTTACACTCAAACAGGAATTTGTGCTTTCTTTTTTTTTGCCCCCCTTCTCTCCCTTCTTCCCTCCTCCCCTCCTGCTTCTGCACCTTGAGCCCTGCACTAGCACTTGGAGAAAATCAGGTCCAATAAATGCATCCGAAACGACCGAACTGCAGCTCTTCAAACCGCCCAACCTCGTGTTCCCCCCTCGCAGGGCTCGGTGCTCCTGGGGGGATGGTGGGCAAGAAAAAGGCACTGAGCGATGGGAAGGGAGGGAGTTTTTTTTTTTTTTGGAAGCTTCTCGAGCTGCTTGTCCGGTTTAGCACCTTCACTTGTCCCAGCACCTTCCCTGAGATGCTGCTGCTCGGTGTGGGGTTCCCTTGTGGGTGCCTCCAGTGATGGAAGTGGCTGCTGGCTGGGAGGTACCCTGGGGACAGCTTGTCCTCCTGGGAAGCTCAGAGGGTCGCTGGAGGGTGTTGGGGGGGTGGGATCTGAGCTGGCTTCTTGCAAACCCGTTTGCCCGGTGTGGTGGGAGGGTCGGGGATGGAGCCTCAGCCTCCTGGGCTGGGCGGGGTGGGAGTTCTCCAGGAGCACTTCCACAACTTCCCGTGGCACTTCCCATTGCCTTCCACCTGGAAGGAATCGGGCACCACCTTCCCCCTCTGGTCTTTTGACCCAAAAGCAGCTGAAAGGAGACTCTGAGCAGGGGTGATGTGGCTGGGGCCAGTCCTGGGCGGGCAGGGAATGTGCTGGGATGCTTCCCAGGGAGATTCCCCCAGTGCCTGGCCGGGTTCCTGGGCTCTGCAGGTACTTCCCAGGTTCCTGGCCGGGTTTCTGGTCTCCTTAGAGAGCTGGGGGTACGTTCTGGACTCTCCCCACCTGGACTGGGCCGGAGGAGGAGGTGGCCTTCCTACAAAACAGCCTTTTTTTGGGGTCTTGTAGGGGCTGTTTCCTCCCCTTGTGTCCCCCCCCAGTGAATGCCGTGTCCTGCAGGGTTTCCCAGCACTGCTCACTGCCTGTGTGGTCTATGCATTTATTAGCACAAACACTGTTAAAATGCCTTTTGTGTCCTCACCATCCGTGTGTGTGGGTGTGGGTGGGTCGGTTTTGACTGCTTTTCTTGGATCTGGAGTTCTATTTTATTGCAGTGAAGACACTTTGTTACATAATGTTTATATATTTTAAAGATTTGTGCCAAGAGAGGATGTATATTTAATAAAAAATCGAATTGGACTTGCAGGCTCTCTCTGGGGGTGTCTCGTGGGTCCCCCACGTTGAGAGGGGCCCCGCACACGGGTGGGTTTGCTGGAGGAGGGATGAGCTTTGCATGGAAGTTGGGAGAAGCCTGGAAGGAGGGAAGGGAGCCCCGGGGATGGTTCAGGCCCTGCCGTGGTGGGGGACAGGGACACAGGGCCGGGTGTTGTGGTGGCAGCAGGTGGCACTGTCGGCTTAGCCATGGCCTGGTGGCTTCCCCCAAGTTGGGGACCCCCTCAGCTGCTGCCACTTGTGGGGGATTCTGGTGTTTTCCAGCCTCATTCCAGGTCCGGTGTGGATGTGACAGCTGGTGCTGGGCAAGGTAAGAAGGTCAGAGCAGGGGGGACAAGCCCAGCCCTCCCAGAGCAGCCTCCCTGTATCCCACTGCTGTTCCCTGTGATGTCCTCTTGTATCCCAAGGGAAATCAAGACCCAGAGGCTGAGACTTGCTCTGGTCTGGTCCCTGGAGCAGGACCGTCCCTTCCTTTGGGACCACCCACCCTGGATTGCTTTGGGCTGCCAGCCCTGGGGAGAGCTGCTCCGAAATTCCCTGCAGGGTGGCAGAGGGAGCTCCGTCTGGATGGCAGAGGGGCAGGGGAAGGAAGAGCTCCAGGTGTGGTTCAGGTGGGTGCGTGCCAGGCCGGTGGGAGGTGCCAGCAGGTGCCAGGCTGAATCCTGATGCCAGCAGAGCCTCTGCAGCAACAAAACCTCCTGATCCCACCTCCTGGGAGTCCTTGCAGAGCCCAGCCCATCCCCTGCACAAAACCAAGGCACAAAGAGCGAAAATAACCCGGGGGGCGGAGGAGGACGGGGAGGAGGAGGAGGGGGGGGGTGGGAATCGCCCCCTGCATGTGCTGTGGCCCAGTTTGGGAGCCCGTGGCGGTGTCTCCTGCTCTCGGCTGCTCTATCCGTCATTGTCCCCGCCGGGGAGGGTCAGTCTGGGCGCATCCCAGGGGAGGATCCGTCTGCGTGTCTGACTCCGGCGCAACCCCCGGCCTTAGCAACGGCCCCGCGGGCAGCGCGGCCCGCGGCTGCTCCCTGCCCGTCCCGCCGGGAAATCAGCACCGAATCGAGCCTGCAAGGGCCTGGCTTCTTAATGCCACGGGTGGCAGGCTGGGACGGGTCCCCCCCACCACCCCTCACCCCTCCCAGCGCCCGCATTCCTGCGGGAATCGCTTCTCCCTCGCACCACCGCACCCGCCGGGCTCTGCCTGCCCCGCGGGTTCCACAAATGGGGATTCCCCCGGGTGAGTTTTTTTCACGTGTTCACAGCGTGGATTCTCCGGGAGGAGGAGGAGGGCCAGATTAGCCCAGTTAACACCGGGCAAAGGGCTGCTGTCTCATCCTGGCCCTTAGCAAGAGGGAATTAAGACCATTACAAGGCTATCAAATAGGATCAGAGCCCCTCTCCCTTTCTCTGAGCAGCCCAGACCTGCTAATCCTGTTTCATGCAGCCGGACCAGCACCCACCGCGTGGAAGGGCTCGGCTGAGACGGACGAGGGGCCCTGTCCCCCGTCCCCCACCCCCACAGCCACCAGGCTGAGCGGTGTCACCAGCCCCGCTGTGACCCCAGTGCCGAGGGAAGGGACAGGGACAGGCACTGGGCTGGGCTGGGGTGAGCCGAGGTCTCCTCCTCAGCTGCATCCACATGTGGGACCCCCTGCCCTGCTCGGGGGAGGCTGGGGGGGCTTTGGGGACACGACGTGCAGACCAAGCAGCAGCTTTTGGGATGGCAGCGACTCTGGCCACTTCTTTATTATTCCTAACCCGGCCAAGGCCGAGGGTTCACAGGAAGCACGGGGACGATGCCGAGGAGCTCTGACCCAGCTCTGGCCAGGGCAGAGACCCTACAAAAACCCCCTCAGCTGGTGGAGGCAAACACGAGGCAGAGCCCACCCCAAAGTCTGTGCTGGAGGTCCCCACCACCTCCTCTGCCCAGCAGGTCCCCACCTGGGCTGGCAGGAGCTGCTGCCCTTGAGGAAAGCAGAGCAGTGAAGTGTCCCCACACTGGGCCAGGAGGGGGCAGAGGGGCTGGAGGGGGTGGGAGCAGGCACGGTGGTGATGGGTGACAGGGACGGGCGGTGCCCACCTTGCCCCGGGCACAAAACCCGTCCTGCCCTGAGCTGGCAGCAGGAACATCTCCCCCAAAACGTGTCCAAGGGTGCCACCAGCACGTGCAGAGGGGGGGAAGCAGCCAGGGCAGGAGCAGCAGCCGGGCACTGACCGCGCCCCCAGGGACATCCCAGCTCCCCCAGTCAGGACCCCGCCAGGTACTGGTGGAAGTAGAGGCCAAAGAGGCTGGTGACGACCTGGCAGGCGGCCACCCACCAGGTGAGGAAGGAGAAGAGCCCCCGGAGCAAGGAGGGGGTGAAGATGCAGTCCAGGATTCCCGTGATCTGCTGCACCACCACCTGCACGTCCTCGCTGTCCTCGCCCGCGGGGCCCGGCGGGGTCACTGGGGACACCGGGGGGGGCTCCGGGTACAGCCCCCAGGAGTGGTGCCCTGGGGGGGGACAGAGGGGATGGGGCTGTGGGGGGCATTCCCTGAGCTGCAGCCCCGTCCCTAAGGCACAGCAGCCCCAGCACCCTCCCCGAGGGTTTGTGCCAACCACAAACCAGGGACCGTCACGGAACACGATCCCAGAACATTCCGAGCTGGACCCCCAGGGATCATCCAGCCCAACTCCTGGCCCTGCCCAGGACACTCCAACAATCCCCCCCTGTCCCTCAGAGCGTTGTCCAAACATTCCCTGAGCTCTGGCAGCCTTGGGGCTGTGCCCACTGCCCTGGGGAGCCTGGGCAGTGCCCACCACCCTCTGGGGGAAGAACCTTTTCCCAGTATCCATCCCAACCCTCCCCTGGCACAGCTCCAGCCCTTCCCTGGGTCCTGTCCCTGCTCACAGCGAGCAGAGGCTGGTGCTGCCCCTCAGGACGAAGCTGCAGACGGCTGGGAGGTCTAAACCCTGAGTTTGGGGACACGGTGGGTGCTGGTGGCCTCACGATGACCTGCAGGTGCCCCCCCACGATCCCCCCACTCCCCCCTCCAGCTCCTCACCCAGCGTCTTGAGGAGCAGAGTGCAGTGCAGGGTGAGGATGACGGGCCCCAGGTACTGCAGGGTGACCACGGGCACGTAGCAGTAGATCCTGGTGATCTGTGGGCAGCGGGATCAGTCACTGCGAGCCCACACAGCACCCCCCCCCACATCCCATCTCCCGCATCCCGACCTTCTGCTGGATCTCCAGGGCCGGGATGCGCCCGGCCTCCTTCCTCATCTGCTCCACCCAGCGCTCGGCCAGCCCCAGGTAGGCCTGGAGGTGGCGGCGGGCGCCGAGCAGGCGCAGCAGGCACAGCCCCACCACGGCCCAGAGCCGGGCGCTGTTGAAGGCAGAGTCTGACATGCTGGGGGGGGCACAAGGGGAGCTGTCAGTGCCACCCCGGGGGGGTCTGATGGGGCAGGGGGCTCGGTTTCCACCCCCACCACCCCCCCCCCCCGGGGAGCCCTGTCCCACTCACAGCTGCACCGTCTCCTTGCCCATGGGCGCGTGGAGCAGGAAATCCCGGGAGATGGGCCTGACCCACATCACCACCACCAGGACGGGCGCCAGGAAGATCAGGTGGAGCAGGAGCCTGCGGGGGGAGCCGTCAGAGAGAGCCCCCCCACATCCCCTGAGCACCCCCTGACCCTGCTCCCTCCAGCCCAGCCCATCCCCACCCTCCCACCACCCTTCCCTGCAGCCACAGAGCTGGGGGGGGGGAAGGTGTCCCAGCCCCCCTGAGGTGCCAGCACCGCCCCCCTCCCTCCCTTCACCCCCCCAAGGTTCACCCAACTGTGCCAGGGGCTGGTCAGCCGCCATCCTGAGGGCATCCAGGTGGGTCTGGGCCAGGCGCAGCCCCGGGAAGGTCAGGCAGGCACCCAGGAAGGAGCAAAGGGCCACCAGCCCCAGCTTGAAGGCCAGCTTGGCCAGGGGCAGCCTGTGGAGGGAGAAGGGGGGGGGTGTGTGTGGGGGGGCTGCGCTGCCCCCACCCCAGAGCCCCAAAGAACTTCCCAAAAAGCCCCATTTCCCTCCCTGCCCCACTCACGTCCACTCCCAGCCCCGCTGCTTCAGGATGGGCTCCAGGTTAGCGCTGACTCCGGCCAGCCCTGCGGGGAGAGACCCCTGTGAGTGGGGAGACACCCCTGGGAGTGGGGTGTGATCCCCCCATGAGCGGGGTGTGATCCCCTGTGAGTGGGATATAACCCCCCACGACTGGGATGTGACCCCCCATGAGTGGGGTGCCCACAGCCCCCCCCCCCCCCCCCCCCCCGGCCCCCCCCCCCCCCCCCCCCCCCCCCCCCCCCCCCCCCCCCCCCCCCCCCCCCCCCCCCCCCCCCCCCCCCCCCCCCCCCCCCCCCATCCCCCAGGGACCCCCTCCCCACCTGCCTCCCACCCCTCCCCACCTCACCCACCGGCCTCGAGGCCGAACTCCAGGTGCTCCTCGCGGATGACCAGGGCCACCATGGCCAGGAGGAGGAAGAAGAAGGCGAAGGTGAGGCACACGGAGCGCTCCCCGCCCTCCTCCGAGCGGAAATAATGGCGCATCAGCATGAAAAACACCTTCCTGGGGGCGAGGGGGTGGGGGGGCTGTCAAGGAAACCCAGGCCCTTTGGGAGAACCCCCCCCCACCCCGTTCCTGCTCACCAGCACACCCAAATCTCCCACACCATCAGGCCACCACCACCACCTTTCTCCGCCCTCACGGGGCCGTCACTGAGGGGTTTATAAACCTGTGAAATGAAGATTTCCACCCCCCCAAAAGCAGCAGAAGGATACAGGGAGAAGAGGACAGTCAGCAGGCACCAGAGGACCCCCAGGTTGGTCTCCCTGGCGGGGCTGGCCAGGCAGTAGTAGCCCTCGGTGAAGGCGTACACGGCGGTGGCGTACACGGCGAAGTCCACGAACCACTGGTACTCCAGGAAATAGCGCAGCACTGGGGGGGCACAGGGACACGTCACCCCCCCAGGGGGGACCCTCGGGGGGACCCTGAGCCCAGGGCAGGGGGTGTGTGTGTATGGGGGGGTTACCCAGGGCATCCATGGCGGTGATGGGGGCGGTGTCCAGGCGCAGGTCGATGTCCCGGGGCACGGAGAGGGGCTTGTCCTCCAGCACCCCGTTCATCCTCCTGCCGGGGGGGCCACGAGTTTGTGCCCTGTGTCACAGCGTCTGCCACGGGGTGCTCCCTGTCAGCAGCCCCGAGCCCCAGTTCTGCTGCTGCTCGATCCTACTGACCCCACTGACCCCAAAGCCACATAGTGACCCTTTCCAGCCCATCCTCACCTGTCCCTCTTGGCCTTGGGGCGCTGCTTCCCGGCCAGGGCGCAGAGCTCCTCATCCGAGGGGTGTTTGTAGCGGTACAGGCTGAAAGGGATCACAGTGGGGGTGTCACTGGGTGTCCCCAAAGGCCCCCCGGGGCGGAGCAGGGAGGGGCAGAGCCCGTACCTGCCGTTGCAGAGCAGCCAGCGGGCGAAGGAGCAGTGAGGGGCCATCTTCTGCATGAGGCTGGCGGCCAGCAGGGTCACCACCACCTGCACCCCCATCACCGCCTGTGCCCGCGCCGGGGCGGGGGGGACACCGCGAGGTCACCCCCAGCTCCCAGGGGTGGGGGAAGAGTGTTCCACAGCCCTGTCCCTGCTGTGGAACCCCCTGGGATGGGACCCCCTGGGATGGGACCCCCTGGGATCTCCTCCTGGGCTGGGGGGGACCCCAAGTCCTGCAACCCCCCCGGGACACCCTGGTCATGTGTCCCCCCCCGGCCACGATCCCCCCAAATTTAGACAAACACTCCCCCCACTCGCACCCCAGGCTGGCATATTTTGGGTAGGGACCCCCCCCCACCCCTTCCCCCTGGCAGGGGATCCCCCGGGCAAGGGACCCCCCGACCATGCAACCCCCTTGGGACCCACCCCCCCCCGGGGCAGGGACCTCCTGGTCATGAGACTCCCCGGGACCCCCCGATCCCGCAACCCCCTCCCCGGGCAGGGACTCCCCCGGCCAAGCGCCCCTCGTGCCCGGAGCATCCCCGAGAGTTGGGGAGCGCAGGTTTGGGGAGGGTCCCGCATCACCCCCCTTCCCACGCACACCCCTGGGTCACGCGGGTCATGCACAGCGCCGGGCACGGAGTCCCCTGAGCACGGACCCGCCTAAGCACGCACCCTCCCGGGTACCCTGGC